AAACAAAATAAAATAAAACAAAACAAATAAATCTTTATCTGATTTATTATTACTGAGGACAGCAACTAAATCAAAATAATGTAATATAAATATTGGGTGAAATATTGTATTGAGTGAATAATTTTATAAACATAATAGGAAGAAAAAATCTTTATACTGACATTCTTTTAAGATTTTAAGTAACACTAATAAGGTCTAAAACTTGCTCAAGTTTCATTTGTTACATGTAAGGAACTGAGGGTCTCATTGCCTCAGAGGTGGGAAGCTCAGAATGCAGAGGAGCTCAACACCAGAGCAATCCTGTTTCCCAGCAGAGCCCATCCTTTCTTATATGAGGCTGTTATTACAAATATGGGCAGTAGATGTACTTAATTTGTCATCCTTTTCTGTTTGGATCTAATATTTATTCTTATTTTCACATCTGCAGTTACTTAAACAAGCCTGATGTTGTTCTGTGGTTATTTCTGAAAGTGCAGGCGGAAAAGCACATTCCATCTGTTATGTCTCAACTTCAGTTGTCTTTCTTCCTCATCTTTCTTTGAGATGAAAAGCTATAGCTTGTAAAGCACTCTACACAAAGGCTCACAAAATCTATTAACATTACCATGTACCCTGTAGCATTCTCCACACGTATTTGTTGTTCACCAGTAACACTCTTTGTATTAAGCGAAATTTTTACTTTAATAACACACTACGTGTCTAACCCCATAGAGTTTTGACCCTATGGCTTTGGCTCCTGGGTACCTATAAAGATCAATAGCTCAATGTCAAGCCCTATTTTAAAGCATCATAAAGTAGAAATTATTTGCATGGATCTCCATCTTAATCCATATGCGTTAGGCACAAATAAGCTCTATAAGGTACAATTAGCTGTGCTGAAGCACTTGGCAAGATGAAGCAGGTTGTAAGCAGAGCATGACTGCAGTCCTGCTCAACCACAATACCCAAGCACTGAAAAAGCTGCAAGAAAATATAATAACAAATCCTGCTCATACAGTCTATGTTGCAAAGACAGACCAGCTGCATGTCTGACACCATCTCCCAAAGCTCCATGCACTCGGGGAGCATATAGGAGCTCTTCTAGGGTTTGCCAGGAGACAGTGCACCAGATCTTAGCCTGCTACAGAGACCATTTAGCAAGGTTAGCCTCTGCTGGGCTGCTCTCTGCAGATCAGAGTATTGCTTGTTGCCACAAGAAAGTAACTAAAATGCATTAACATAATTTCACATTAATTACTGTGAAATTGCAATCAAAAGAAATGCTAACAACTTAGCAATAATGAGCAGTCGCAGTCTTAATTAAACTTGATCTCTGGCAAGAGCAGTGGAATCACTATATCAAAGGAAAACTTAAAAAATCTTTAGCCTCTCACTACCACCTCCTACGCAGGGGAAATGCCCAGGGATCAGGCACATGGTATTTGCAGAACATTAGGTAAGGATGGCAGGAGCTGATAGCTGACTATCCAGCAGTTTAAAGCTTGGCTGCTAAGCAAGTTGCTATAATTCAGTAAGATGACAAACTTTGAAGGGAGGTTTTAGGACTATTTTATCATCCTTTCTTTAAAATATTGGAGAGAGGGAAAAAAAAAAAAAGCTCAATTTGCTGATGCTTATACTGTCAAGTACACATATAAAGTCAGACTTTGTCAAGTTGATTATATTTGTGGTTTTGCCATTGAAATTAATCATTATAGTCATGTACTTCTGACACTTTTAAAAAATCTCAACATTTATAAGTAAAGGCTGGCCCAACGCCAAATCTGACAGGAATTTACAGGGTGAACTAATTGCCTAAAATCATTGCTGCTCCTTGGACTGACCTGAGCTAGCATTTTACTCCACTCAGGAAACATGAGCTACCTTATTCCATTATATTTTTAAATATTCAGCAAATAAAGTGTGCAATGACATTCAGGATATACTAGATTTTATTCTTCTTAAAACTACAGCATCATCACTGTTTGATTAGCTCAGATACCAGGTTCTGTCCTGCTACTTGCTGCTACAGACCTGTTCCTGCATCACTATTTAAGTAATGAGAGTTAGAAGACACACCTCAAAGTTTTAATATGATCTATGCACCTATGCAGTAAACCTATGCACTCTAACCAGTATTTTGAAAGACAGCTTTCCCAGAAGACTCCTCCATATACACTCCAATCAGTATTTTAAAAGACAACTTTCCCAGAAGACTCCTCCATAAATACTTTGTGGAAAATGTGAGCATCTATCTGTAACTTTAAAACAAAGAATAAAGATTGAGGTTCTCAAACCAAGAGGCCAACTATGACATTAACATAATTCTTCAAATAGCTTTTCATCACTCTCTATCATACCTTGCAGCCAAGCTCAGGATAGAGTCCCCAGTGATTTTCTTCACAGAATTCACATTTTGGTCCCTGAGTGTGAGGGGGACAAATGCATTGACCAGAATCTGCATTACAGTTATTTTGAGTATGAGCACAGTCACAAGCTGTAAGAGAAATGGCACCAAAGATTAACATTGACTTCGCTTTGCTATAGAGAACAAATTCCAAGATTGACAATAGCCTTCCTTCTCTTAATTACAAAATACGGTTTATCCATTCCACTAGAAACATATTGCTGAGAAACCATTGATGACCACAATTACATTTCATTTTTTATTTAAAGTCCCGCTTGACATAGACTGCTTTGTGTTTTAAAAGGCAGTGCTTCATTTTCATGGGAGAATCAAAGTCAGGCAAAATCATTGAGGAGAATAGTAAATTAGTAGAAAAAAACCCAACTATTACAGGGGATATAAATCTCATCAAGGGTAATAATTTTCAGAAACAGATGATAAAAAGGTACCTAACGGCCTTTGCTTGGACTCATCTCAGTTTTAATCCCTAAAATAAGTTCTGAAATACAATCCTGTCACATGATCTTACTGCATATTTCACATTACTAGTTGAGACTTAAAAATGTTTCTGTTTGGCATTCCTCTAGCTGTAACTTGTTGAAAAGGGCTCCTTATTAATATTAATTAAGTTTTTTTGGTGGTGTGTGGTCACTTCATATTAACATTTTCTTTTATACTATGACAAAAAAATGTACATACTGAGATGATGACGGGAAAATACAGTCAATGACATATTTTAGCAAAGCATAAAATACATTTGTAAGAGTAGAAAAAAATAAGGTAGAAAATCTGTATTACTTTCCAGATTTTTTAATTGGAGGAAAGAAGTTTATTTTCTCAGAAGGAGTGAAGGGTTTTAATAATTAAAAAAAAAAAAAAGGGAGAGACTAAGGAGCTATTTAGAAAGTAATACTTCTCTCAAGAAGTTCTTATGACTTGCTGTTTTACAGTCACAGCCTTTCATGAGGAAGCAAACAATAAGCAATCAAAACATGCTTTGTTCCTGAGCTTTATCAAAGCATTAGGAGACCATTCTTCACATTTTTCAGAATATTTCCTAAAGCACGTGACCTTTGCTGGAGTGTAACATAACACAGACTGTTGAGAGGGATTGCAGGCAGACCCTGACAGGATCACGGAGCAGCTTACGTGTACAGCCCCCGTCCTGGAAGGCATGGAAGCCATGAGCGCAGCGGTCACACTTTTCTCCGGCCACTCCTGGTACACAGTGACACTGGCCTCCATCGTTGCAGTCCTTGGAGACTGAGCCAAATTGGCTGCAGTTGCAGGGAATGCAGCCAAGTCCAGTAAGCAGGCCGTAATAACCACTCTGTTGGTCAGGAAGCAGGCATTTGAGCTGTATTTCATAATTATTTTTAAAAATATGAAGTATGCTCTCATTTTCTGTTGATTACTTTCCCTGGCATCTGACTTCCATAAATACTGATGGGCTTTACATGATTGTTGGAGTAACCTCACCTCTTCACCATTCTCAGCTATATATAGGTACGGATATGTGTGGAAAATTGAACATTGACATGCTCATGGGGTCCTCTGAATTTCCCTAAACGGATCCCCTCTCCCCTGAGCTGCCTTCCACCACATCTGCTCTAGGCTGAGTCCCTAAACAAGGAGACCAGAATTGTACATAGAAATCCAGGTAAGACCTTACTGGTGCATTAGTACTACCTGTCTGTATTGGAAAGAGCTCATCTGACACATCCTAAATTCCTCCTGTCTCCTCTGCATCTGCACCACATCGGTAAGGGAGAGGCTTCCTCAGAGCCCACAGCACCCTCAGGTCTTCTTCCTTCTCTTCATGCCTCAAATCAGTGGAGATTCAAATTCATCACCTTGCACTTTGTACTGATGAAAATCATTCCCTTTCCTTTCCAAAAGCCCTCAAGCACCTCTGAAATAACTGTATGACACAAATCTCATTCTTTGGACTGAAACCACAAGTGAAAATATGAAACAGACTCATCAAAAGCCTTTGGCTTTGTATGGAGTGATCAGGAGTTCAAATTTCCAGAGAAATTTGGGGAGCGGGAAAAAAACATATACACAGTATTCAAGTAGAGGCTTTCCTTTGTGCCTCTTCACTCTCATGTCAACATTTGCAGACAAACAGGCAGACCAAGATACAAAAAAGTGCAGATGTCAAGAACAGCTAGATATGGCTTACCAAGCACTTATCGCATTGTTGTCCGATCACGTTCGACTTGCACTGACAGAAGCCGGTCTCATGGTGACAAATGCTGGAAAGGGAACCATTCACCTGGCACTCACAGGCTTATGTTTAGGAAAAATAAAAAAGAAACAAAGCAGAGGAATTCTATTATTATGCATATTTGTATCATTCTATCCATACGCATGCAGGACTGCAAAATATGCTATACTATGTATGTTTCACCTGTTTATATCCCACAGGCATGAACATACCACGTTAATGACAGCAGTATGCATTTGGGCCAGAAGAAAGAAAAACAGCTTTGAAGAGATGCACTTGAGTAGTTCTGGCTCTATATGTAGCATTCTGAAGTAGGAAACATCTGCAGCAGCCAAATGCAACTGAGCAAGTCAGCAAGTGTGAGGAATATGAGGAGTTACATCCCATATAATACATTCCTTTCTCCCACTAGCCCAGCCCTGCAGTTTTCGATCTGTATTTGTCATCTTACAACTTGAACTAGAAGGTTAGTGATTTTCAAAAAGAGACATATCTCCCTATCCATGCACATGCACACCATAATTTTGTGTCCTTTAAAACACGAGGGTTAATAAAAGTAGCTTACCACGGCAGTTTTTCTCAACTAGTGCATCCCCATAGTACCCATCAGCACATCTCTCGCAGTGGTCACCCCCAGTGTTCCCCACACACTTCAAGCACTGTCCCGTGACACTGTCACAGTGGCCATCCTCCTGAGGGTTGACATTGCCATTGCATTCGCAGGGAACACACGACTGCCCGGGCTCCAGAGGATTCCCATAGTAACCGTTAGCACATCTGCACAAGAGATTGAAAACGTTTTAGCTTGCATGAAGACATATCTGATGCTCTCCACACCCAAGACAGTATTTTCTAATCTTTTTTTTATTCCTAAAAAGGCTCTGTATTAGAAGCAATGGCAAAATGGAAGGGAAAAATATATCCAAAATGTTCTGTACATATGGCAGAAGAAATTCACGACAAGTAGGATGGTATATAGTGAGTCATAACAATGACATTAATATTTTACACAATGTACCTACCTTTCACACTGAGAGCCAGTATAGCCTGGAAGACATTTGTCACAGACAATTTCACCTCCTTCACTCAGCAGGCAAGTAGGACTGAAACTATTAACAATTTTGGCAGTCAATATCAATACACACAATTACAAACTTCTAAAGACATTCAATAGCTGCCCTTCAAGTCTGTGCATCTACATTTATAACCATATAATTACATTTTTTTTCTAGATCAATATCAATGCTTTAAACACTACAGGTCAAAACAGAATTATCATTTTTATAAACTGTTCTCAAGGTTTTGTCTTTTAAAAGAAAGGAAGATTTGAAAATTTCCTATAAATAGAGCTCTCTCTAGTAAACCTGTCAAAACGCCATATCAGCTCCTCTTTCTCAAATACCACACATCTGTTCCTTTGTTATTTCCTGAAATAATATGAAAGAGAACTGTTATTTTGCTGTCAAGTTCAAGGATAAGTCTAAGTATTACTTTCACCTTTGTGTAAAAATTGCTCCAGTTCACTCAGCCTCTCTTAGCTTAATCTATATTTTTTTCTACCTGGCAAAACAATGTTTCTACGAAACAGTCTCAGATGAAAAGGGAGAGAGAAAAGGGAGGAGAAAAGTCCTTCACTTCATCCTTCAGATTTTGTAGCCCTTTTCTTTCTCCCACATTCTGATTTTGCTGAAGGTGCAAAAGCAGCACGGCACTTACTTGTTTGCAGCATTGCTCAGAGGACAGGCACAGGGCTGGCAGTCCTCGGCAGTTCCTTGGGATGCACGGCCATAGAAACCAGGCAAGCACTCATCACAGAAAGGACCGGTCGTGTTGTGCTGACAAGCCTGTGAGACACAGAAAAAAAAGCCTTTTATTATTTACTCTGTGTTTTTTTGTCAGTCCCTGTAGGTGTTTGTATGCAGTACAGCATGAGGATTCAAGGACAGGGCATGAAGTACAGAGAAGGACTTTGAAGATAATGGAGTTTATCTGAGCTACAACAACAATTTCTAATTATATCTCTCTTAAATTTTGGAAAGTATTTATATCAGGAAACAACCACATTACTTACACACAAAGCTGAGATTTTTATTAGCTAGTATATACTGACCCTTTTATTTTAGTTCTGATTACTCCTCACTTTAAATGGTAATCTAAAACAAATTATTTAACAGAAAGTACTTTAAAGGAGTTCACTAAAATACATAAAGAATGAAAAGCAAGAAAAAAAATTCTTGCTTGAGCTTTCTAGCTTGAAATCTGCACATATTGTCTCCCACTGCCAATAGGCTCTCCTAATTCCTAAAGAGGTGCTTAAGACACGAACACTTTGAAGGATGACTTACAAAGCAAACACCATGAATATCACATTCAGTTGCATGCCCATTGCATTTGCAGGGTTGACAAATACCTCCAAAGAGTATTCCATCCACACGGTAGTACCCAGGGAGACAGGACTGAAAGGAAACAGGGGAAAAAAACAGAAACATTGCTAGAGTACGTTAAAAGAACATGTCAAATCATATTCACAGAGTCCCCTTCTGACCACCCACGAAGTGGCTCATTCACATTCTGGTATTTGAAAGCTCTTTCAAATCCCTCAATGTCACTGCCACTCTTTTCTAGTGGTGCCTTTTTTCTTGCACTGAGTAAAGAGGATGAGAGTTAACTCTGTGAAACTTTGGTTCAACCTTTCATCCTCACAAGATAAGTTTTGTGCAGTTCAACATGTGAATTTCTTTATTACGAGGCAATAAAAAGCAGATGTTCTAGCTCCTCTGCAGAATCACTAACAGCACAACTATGGCACAAAGCTCACACTGAAATCATTCGCTAAAATAATTCCTGCTATTCTGCAGATGGTGCTCTAACTCCATCATCTTCTGTTCACAGATACGTGAGACACCACCTTGAATAACAAGATCACCTCGCGGGATCTTCCAAGAGTAGCATTCCTCCCTGCTAAAGTCCCTTATTGCTTCCAGAAGCCCAATGATACAAAACAGAAATAACCTGTGCACGATTCAGATCCAGGAAGAATGCTATTAATAGGCAAGGTAAGCTTAGAAGAGCCTAGCAGAGCTTTTATAGCTGCTCCCTCTGCAGCACTGATGTTCTGAAGTGCATCGTCACCTTTTAGTGAAACCAAACACTTTTCAAGAAGTAAGTTTAAAATCTCATTAAGTGTACTTAGAAGAAATATCTAAAGCACTGTGTGCAACAAAATACACAGCATTTCACCAGAGGAAATATATTTTATGGCGATGCAATTAAAGGCAGCTTGGCTTTGATAGATATTCAGGAGATACTAAGGAGATCATTTTGCATACACATGGCACAAGGAGACGTTACCTCACAGGAGATTCCTGTGTAGCCTTGGGGGCATTCACAGAATTCCACATCTGGGGCTGAAGAGAGGTCTATGACATTGGCGCTTGCGGTATCCAGGGTCACAGAGTCCAGCCTAGGATCAAGCAGAAGAACATCACACCGTGTGTTTCCCCCAGGTTGATTTTAAGCAGGCTAATTAGCTTCTAGGAGAGTAACACTGCTCTCTGGTGGCAACAACTGAGGAACAGGAGCAAATCTCAGCTGTAGACGACTATGGTCATAGTGTTATCACTGGGCTTCTGAGCTGGAAGTAGATTTGTCCTCACCCTGTTATCATCATGATTACTCCCACTGACCCTGTGACTTCCCCTGTGAAGAGGTTTAATGAAGAACATCTTTCTCTGTCATGATCTCAGAGGTGTAGCAAAGAAGCAATCAGTGCGGAGATAAAATAGTTTTACTGGACCATGTCTAAAACAGACACATACTACAGGTGGGTGCATAGAAGCAACACCAGGTCTTGCTGGTAGGTGCACACAAGAAGATCAATAAAGCCTTATTCCTATGGACTTTAAGAATAAGACAGAGATCTGTATGGATTGGTACAGATATTGCTAATTTTGCCCTGAGACTGAGCTGTGACCACTTAAATCATTCCAGCCTTGGAGGACAGCCTCCAGTAATACCGCCAAAGTGACATTAAAAGAAAATACAGTCAATGCCTTTACTAGCAGGTTTTCAATAGCCACTGATGGATTAACTTGCCACCCACTAAAACAAGCATACTATTGAGAGTTTGGGAGATATTTCCCTCTAACAAAGCTGTCATTGTAATGAGACTTTGAAGCAGTATTCCTTTAAAGTGGAAAACAATGACCCCGCTATCAGATATCTTTAAAGCAATGAAATGCATTTTTCTACACATTCCATTTGGAATTTTGGGTACAAGACCAGTCTTGAGAAAATCCAACCCAGTATGTTGTTTTTCTTTTTCTTTTTTTTTCCTGAAAATTATTAACTTGAAACTTTTGGATTATTGTCACTATGAGTGGCATTTCCTATCGCAAAAATAATACAAATATTTGCATTAATTTGAACATTTTCTATCTCTTACCTGTACACAGCTTTTTTGGCAATATTGTAGTTGGCCCTGATCAGAAGATGGGTTACATTTACTAAAACAGTCATCAACCTTTCCCGATCCACAGCCTTGTTTGTATTGAAGTCTATGAAATTCTCCGATACAAATCTCACAGTATTGGAATACTCCTCATACGGCTGCAAGGACAAGCCTGCTGCTCTTGTGCTCAAAATCTGCCCATTGCCCTGAAATTGAAAGATAGAGAAAACATTTTCTGTATTTGTATGCAGATTTTATTTAGTATATTATACTAAATATATTATATTATATATAGTATATTATTTATTATATTTACTCTCATTGATCTCATATAAATAATTATCCTATATGCACACTGTATTTTATTAACATTTCTGCTTTTAAATTTCATATTAAGTATGAGGTGACTATGACCTACAACACGTTTGATCTAACACCTTGCCTTGACCTGAGACTTGGAGAAATGATACACATCCAGACTACACAGAAAGAGGCAATCAAATTGGATTTCTCACACTAGGAAAAGAACAAATAAAAAGGCTGCACTTTCCATGGATTCAAGAAGACAAAAATCCCATTCCCTCTTAGTTTTGAGACTTCAGAAAAACTTGAATTTCTTCTGAATAAAAAATTAAACTGCAACATAAGTTGTACTACAAAAATAAGAAAACTACAAGAATATTCATAACCCATTCTATTGCAGTTTCTTTTATAAATAGAGCTTTGTTCATTTAGTAATTACCATCTCAGATGTTTCACAAAGGTTAATTTGCAGATATTTATTATATAAAGTTAGCATTGCATACCTGTAATTTCAGAGAAATGGATCAGAAAACCATAATATGGTTATGAATAATATGAAAATCCTGGCAGTGACTTTTAGGGATTTAAACCCGATAAAGATATTAATATAGAAAAAATCTTTTTCTTTTCCATTTTAGGCTATTAGATTCCCAATAATGTCAGAGTAGTAGCCGAGTGCAAAAAAAAAAAAACAAAAACCCCACCTGAATGATGACATCCACGCTAGATACTATATCACTGTCCACACTCTCCATTGGAATATCATAAGATACTGTATATTTCAAATCTCCACCAAAAGCTGTCAGCTGAAATTACAAAGACCAAAGACTTAACAGCTAAGCAACCCATAATCAATGCAAAGAAGATACACAGGATAGTATAATGAATTTGCAGCAAATTCAAGGAGTGCATAGCCTTCCAAATACCACCTTTCACAGAAAGGGGTAGTAACATTGGGACAAGTGCTGGCTTGCTGCTAAGCAGATGTGGAAAGCAAGCCGAAGGCTCTGCAGATGATTCAGACAAGTGCCCTCCTTCAGCACAACACAGGACTTTGTCCATCCATCATACTGGGCAGGGGGAGAAGGGTGTAAGCTTGGGCATGGGAGACAAAAATATGAGGAATGCAAACATCAAAGATAATTACAGCCAAGAGAAAGTAAGAGAGACTATTATGGAAGATGGGCAGAGCAGGAAATAAGGAATGAGCTCAAAGATATAGCAAAGGGAAAAGGAGGACTGGGCCAGGAACACTTTGATTTGAAGAGTGGAGAAAGATCGATAAGCCTGTTAATACTGTGTTTTATCTTTAAATTTATAATTATGAAAGTATGATATATTCCAACCATACTCAAATTTGAATTATTTTCCACAAGTTAACCAAAGAACTGTATGGCTGTATGGAATGACAAATAGCAGCAACTCCAAGGGTTTATATGCAAAGTAAACATTAAACTGAAAGACAACGATTAATGTCATACGGGAAAGATGGAAGAACAAAGTTTTAAGTGCACAGAGAAGAATTTATTATATACTATTTTCTCAGTAACAAAACATTTTGGAAAGCAGAGATGTCTACCACTTATGTACATGGATATTTCTAGAGAAATAGAGCAGTATGACTAAAATAAGGAGACTATATAATAGTTTTGACTCTTCCTAACTGAGAACTTACTTTATTTCCCAGATATGGCTCGGGGGCTGACCAGTAATAAGTCTGTTTCAGTACTTTGACCGCCTCTGTGTTGTTGATACTGATTTGACGGGGTCCATCAAACTGGCTTCGCTGAGGCTGCACGCTCTTTGTGTTGTACAGATCAGTAACCAGCCACCCAGTCATATCTGATGCCTGCAAAAAAGTAAGGTTACATTAATGTAAGCAAGGCTTAGAGCTGCTGAGAAAGCAGTCACTAAACTTAGCCCCCTTCCCTAGATACCCATTCAAATTAATGAGTCGACAGCATCTTCTTTAACCCAGTCTGATATCCAATACATGCAAATAGAAACCACTTCATTATAATCAGACTAGGATTCCTATGAAACAGGAATAAATGTGATTTTTATCCTCCCAATAAAATTAGCTCTATAAATCCCTGAGATAGATAGAATTACGGGACATGAACGGCTTTATTATCCTCCCAATAAAATTAGCTCTATACCCATATAAATCCCTGAGATAGATAGACAGAATTACGGGACATGAACGACTTTGAGGCCTACCATCTCCATGCAGAGACAAAGCCAAGTCAGAAGAACGTTTAATTCACAGTCACAGAGAAGGAGCAGGATGAAAGAATTTCATTCTTCTCACCAAAACGATTTTATAAAAGCACCTTAGAATTTCAGTCTATCCAACGTGTTTTCTTCTCCCTTTCTTGGAGCACAAAACAGGGAGTAACGTAGGACTAATTGCAAAAGGGATTTTAAGGAATTTGAAAAAAAGGGTGTCCCGAAAGCTCCCTACTCAACTTATGTCTGTTCAGAAGATAGTGATATTTATAATCCTTCTGTTGTCCAAGCAAGATCATTGGAAGTATTGTTAGAGGCCACATTACCCCTGTCTAATAGGTAAGAGAATGGGAATGGGTTTGGTTCCTTTCTTCAACGTGTAAAGAAACAGCACGAGGCCAGACAAAATGCACTTTTCCTGGGCATTACCACAGACCCCCCAGCCTATGTTTCTGGCAGCACTGCAACACTGGCACTGCAATGGGGACAAGGTTTGCACTAGGGGACAAGCTGCTTGTCCCAGAGCTGTCCATTGACACTGACAATCCATTCCTCTGTAAGGAGACATATGCAAGGAACTGGAGTTACCTTGAGTGCATGTCA